GTTTAGGTCCGCCCCCCCCCACCCCACCCCACGCCCACCCCCGCTGCCCACCAAGTCCTCTCACTATCCTCCCAACATTATCCCCTCGTGGTTTGTCTCCAGAAGAGTTCTCCAGGCAGAATCGTTCATTGTTAACCATGTGGGTGCAGGAACCAGCCTTCCTGCATTTGACTCCTGCCTCTGCCACTTAGTAGCTATGTGCCTAGGGAGATTGCTTCAGCATGTCTTCTCTTTAAAATGGGGGGGGAGCACATGGATGGCAGCAATTCCCACCTCCCAGATTATGTGATGGGTGTGTACTCATACATCAAGGCTGCTGCTGTTGCTAATTGCTTTGTCTTCAAGTCTCCCTGTATTCTCTTGTCCTCTTTGGTCAGTCAGTGCTTTTCAGATATTTCTTCTGTATCCTGGGATTCCATGATGGGGACACTATGGCCACCATAAAGGGGAAGGGTCTAGGCAACCCAGTGTGGGCAGAGGTACATAAGGAAGAGCTGTTACCCACCCACTCCCCACAATGCTTGCCTTCTGTCTCTGTCTCTTACTGATGTCCCGCTGCGGTGGACAGCTCTGGCTCTCAGGGTGAGACCCAAGGTCTGTGCTCAGTAAGAGGCGCTGTGTGAACCGCTGTGTCTCCGTGCACCCAGCACTCCCCATGTGTGGGGCTGGGCTGTGCTGCCTCTCATTTGGATCTCTCTCTTTGTCTAGTTGCCATCTTGCTTCCCAGCTTGCTGGCCAACTATATTTGTCACTCAAGGCACCTTTCAGGCATCACCCTAGAAGTGTGTTCCTGTTGTCCGGCAGTGATCCCAGGACACTCCTGCCTTCCAAGAAGATGGTGGGCAGTGGCTGCCGTTCTCACTTCCTGTTGCCCTTGCTAGCTTCCTCTTGCCCCATCTCAGCCCCGTGGATTTTCTCCAGTCTCGTACAGCGGTGCAGTCTCTCAATACATGATCTGCATACTGTTTCACCTTGCCAAATTGCTCTTCATTCTCTTTACTGTTAAGGCCACAGCGGAGTCGGGTCCCTCTGTGGGATGTACTAATCTTCCCCTGTGCCCCCGGAGCACTCAGCAGAGTATGCTCTGCATCAGAAAGTACCCCTTTAGACTTGAGCTCCCTGGCCTGGGACCACATCCCTTTCAGCATTTTGCACGAGCTTCTCGGCTGTATAGAACAGAGCTCAGGGTTGCTTATGTGCCATGAGCGTCCCTTCACAGTCTGTCTTCAAACTGTCTCCATTCTGGTCTCATCTCCCGCCATCTGTGCACCCTCAGCCACAGCGCTTGCGCCAGCCTGTGGTCTTCTCAGCATGTCCCAGTTTGGACTGACCACACATTTTTATTTACACGCTGCCTTCTCTTGTGCAATGCTCTCTCCCGGCAGGGCTGCCGGTCTCCTCAGGATAACATGTTCTTTCTTATCAGACTTTAAGTGTGCAGTGTTCCAGCCTCCTTCTCCCAAAGAGCACAGAGCAGTGCCCTCTGTGTGTGTCCAATGTCACCAAAAGAATGTGTGTGTGTGTGTCTGATGTGATGTGTGTGTGATGAGTGTGTGCGTGTTTGTATATCTGATGTGATGTGTGTGTGTGATGTGTGTGTGTGTCTGATGTGATGGGTATGTGTGATGTGATGGGTGTGTGTGTGTTTGTATATCTGATGTGTGTGTGTGATGGGTGTGTGTGTGTGTGTGATGTGATGGGTGTGTGCGTGTTTGTGTGTGCGTGTGTGTGCACTTGTGTACACAAGAGAGAGCATCAGATCCCCGACTATTCCTTTCTCACTGGGCTCATTCTCTCCCCTCCTCATAAAACTGGCTATCCTATATGAAAGATCTGCCATCCAATGTATATTTCATATTATTCACATTGTCTTTGTAAAATATATGTACTATTCTGTACTTTAAAGAGTAAATAATAGCACCTTTACTTTAGCTTAGCAGTGTTTTGCGGTTTGTCCATATTAATGCCTGCAGCGTTAGATGTTTTAAATCACTGCCGAGATTCTCATGGTGTCGGTACCCCAGCTTGTTTACCCATGCTCTTCTAGATCCATGTTTTCAGTTCTTCGCTGAATGTCCGCTTTACAGAGGATATTGTCATACTTAAAGAAAAGCTAATCTTTCTCTAACTTTAAAGGCGTGTTTTCAGAGTTAGGCCCCTCTGCCTGAATATTGGTCACCCTGAGGGCCAGCGCCTCTGACCTTTGTGATCAGCTTCTCCTGTGTGTGTAGCCGTACCTGCCACTTTAACCAGCACGAAGCCAGTGCTGAGCACTTGGAATGCATAGCTTCAGCAGAAGTTACTTTTCTCACTCTGCAATTTGCAAGTCATTCTCATACAAAGTTAGGTCATTTTGCCTTAAAAATGCTAAATGAAAGCCAAAATTAGAGTTTTTTAAAAAGCGCACACAAGATTTTGCAAGCAGTAGCTATAAAGTGTGAGGGGGAAGCCTATTAAGTTGTGTGAGAATAACAACTTGGAGTAAGTGTGAATTCTCTGTCTCATTCATGAGAGAACTGAAGAACCTTACATTATCCGTTCTTGCGCAAACTGTCTTCATCTGGAGGCGTAGCCACAGCTTCTTGGGGACGTGTGCTTCAGTACTTGATACCGTAATCAGCAGATCCGCCATCATGCTCAAATGAAGTCCCTTATGTTGGGCTTGTAGCTCGTTCCCTTGTTTGTGCTCCTAACTAGGGAAACAGATTGCTAGTATTCTTTTGTAAAGTAAACAAACAAACTGGCCTAACTTCTCCAAAGATAACAATTTCAAGTGCTTTTTCCACAGAAAGAGGGGAGGGGATGTGAATCTCAGGGTCCCTGGTTTTGTGAACTGAGAGAGCAGCCCCGCGTTGCTACTCTGCAACTTCAACAGGAAGCGTGCGTTCTTCCTCTTGGCCCCTCCTCTTGCACCAAGCTGGCCTCTGAGACCTATCTGTTGTCGTTCCCTTTGGGGGCACCCAGTTCATGCCTCTGAGCTGTGCCACCTCCTATGATAGAACTGACCTCAAACTTCTTTCAGTCTCTGTATCCGTGGGTCTGGAAAGATGGTTCAGCCAGTGATATACTTGCCTTGCAAGGTCAGGAGCCTGAGTCTCATCCCAGAACCCACATTAAAAAGCCAGGAACGTTAGTCAGAATTTAAGGCTGGGGATGCAGCCCTGTGGTAGAACGGTTACCTGGTGTGCACTAGTCTTGGGTTTAATGGCCAGCACTGCAAACCATTGGGAGGGGAGAAGAGGAGGGAAGTTTTTAAAATGGTAGAGAGTCCGTCCAGTATGTGTGGATCCTTGGGTCAATCCCAGGGTTATCGCCCCCCCCAACACACACACAAATAGACAAAAAAGCACTTAATCTAGAAAGAATGTTTAGTAGTCTCAACTTCTTGAATTTTCCTGCTTGATCCATCTGAAATAATTTGGGCCTTTTCAAAATTGATATTCAAGTCAATGTTCTATTTAAAAGACCATCACTCAGTTTTAGAATTTTAAAAAAACTACTACAGATCATACCTCAAGTCTAAATGGAAAGTATATAGAACCAGAATTGCCTTTATTTCTAAGCTTCTATCTACCCCATACAGTCTTTATTCTTTAGGTACAGTATATTTACTATTAGGGTATATGACTATATACATTTACTATGAGGACATATATGTGTGTATACATGAAATAAATATTTGTGGCTCTAGTACTAAACATATACGTTTGGAATTATATCGTATTATTGAATTGGCTTTCATCATTATAAAATTTTCTGTTTATCTCTAATAATAATACTTGTCATTTAGCTACTGTGTCTGTAGTTAACATGGCCATCTTAGCTTTCTCATAATTACGAATTCTTATCTGTCTTTAGATTTAAAGTGTTTCACTTAAAGAGCATGATTGGGTCTTGATAGTCTATACAATCTAAAAAGAATAAACTGCCATTTGATTGGAGTATTTAGTCCACTGACATTTAATGTAAATCACCTTTATTCCTTGAAAAAAATGCCCGCTTATTATAGCTTTATTAAGATATCTCTTAGATCACAGTAATACATACATACCCTGAAATATTCCTGTTCTGAAGTGACCATTCTCACCTTAATGCCCTTGAGACAGGGAGTTTTATCCACTGGCTGGTTGGATGTCCTATAGTCTTCAATCTATTATCAATTCCAAAATCTGTTTACTGTATATTCCCTCAACGGTTCGCTGTACATCCAGACATTCGGATTCTAGACCTTCCTTGCAGTTTCCTCCTATCTCATATGAAGCTCTACAAGTTCAAATGACAGAAATGCACCACTGTTAAGTTCTCAAGTCTCTCCTGTGTTAGGAATCATGATCCTATAGTTCAGCTTCATCTAAAAGAGTTGTTTTATATGTTTCCTCTAAGTTTTCATTGATTACCGTGGTGAAGTTCATCTGCTACCAGTTAACCCATCATAGCCAGAAGTAGAAATCTCATTAAATGTACCCTTAAAATCACGCTTCTCGAGAAATGGCAACTTACATGTCTGGTCCTGTACACTAGAGAAGCAGACTGAGCCAGCGTATTTATTTGAAAGGGTGGAGATAGTTAAGATCCATGGGACCAATGGACTTAAAGTGGGTTACAAGGAGACTGTCACCAGCTAGTCCAGTTTTTGTCCGTCTCCCACCCACCCCCATAGTGATCTTGTGAGAATTCTTCTTGTTTTTAAGACAAAATTTTAACCTGTGAAACTTTTTCCGTGAGACCCTTACTATTTAAACACACTCCCCCCCCTTACTCCATTTTGTTACATAAGCAATGCTGTTGATCCTGCTGTTAGCATGGGCATGAAAAGATTGTTTATATGCTCCAGGTACTGCCTAGCCAGATGCTTTTGTTGCCCAATCAATAAACCTGCTTTGTTCCTGAAATTACTTCAAAACAGATTTCAGAATATCTAACATGCTATGAAACTATATAATCCCATGTCAGACCTTTAGTTTTCTTGATGTAATTGGGTTTTCCTTTGTGTTTTTCAGTTTGTTTTCTTTGCTGTCTAAAAAACACAACAAAGCTCTGGAACAAGCCACCCAGTCCTTGAGAGGTCCCCTGAGTTCCAGTGATGGTCCTCTCCCAGATTACGTAAGTAGCTGTCTCGTCATTGTCATAAATTTCTCTGTACTGTTCGATTTGTGAGTAACAGTACTTCTGTGCTCTTGCAAACCTTGAAAACCTGTCATAGTATCTATAAAATGGTGAAGAAAGCCAACCTCGCCAGTGATTGTTAAGCATCAAGATCCTAGTAGTTGAGTCCAAACAAAACAAAACAAAAACTCTCAAGCCAATTACACAAAAACAGGAGTAAAGAGTCTCTTTCTCAAAATAAATTAATTTTAAGAAGAGTTTGAATTTGGTTCATCTGTACATACTTTATCTTTAGACAATATTATCAAATCACGCATTAGTTCAATGTCATTTATTCCACAAACAAGTGTTGTGTTTACTTAGTTTTGAAGTCCCCCAATAGTATTTTCCATTAATCACAAACCTATAAAATGATATTTCTGAGAGGAAATGGTCATATTTAATACTTGTCAGCCACAAATATGACTGTGTAATGGTAGAACAAATTTTGTGATGTAACTTGAATTCTATATGGAACATCCCAGTTTGTAGTCACTATTTAGCAGGTTTCTCTATCCATAACCTTCAGTAAATCTGTAGCATTTGCTCCTAGAATCACTTGGGACCTGCCACTGTGGCCCTCGCTCTAACACTGAGCACATGAGTCTTGGTCTCACACCTTTCCTGACAGTCTAACTGCCTTTGCCCAGAGCTAACGGAACAGGAATACTGCAGCTGAATTATTCCCTATGCCAGGGATCCAAAAGGTGAATTAAGGTAACAGTAGTGGGCCTGCAACGTGACTTAGCAGGTAGAGAGCTTGCTGCTCAAGCGTGATGACCTGAGTTCAATCCCCAGAGCCCAGTAAAAGTGGAAGGAGAGACATAATTCTGCAAAATTGTCCCCTGACCTCCATGAGCTCACTGTGGAGTGCTTACACACACAACAGTAATAATGATGAACAAAATAAAACTAATTTTTAATAAGTATAGCCTTAAGAATAAGCACTACAAGGTCTTCTTTCGTGATATCTCAGCATTTTATTGGTCAGGTCCCTTGCCAAGCATTATGGATAAGTGACTTGCACATTTGAAACCGATCTTTGTCATTTTCTTTTATATTAATCATTAGCTAGGAAATGGATGTGTTCCCCCCTTTTTTTTTTATATTCCTCAGAATTTTAACCTGTTAAGTATCCTTGGCAACAGCCACAGAGTTGTGTGTTCTGGTCTGGACCCGGCGGCTTTTTTGTGAAGCTGGAGAAGGAAGAGGAAAGGGTCTCTGCAGCCCTGGGGTCCCAGATGTGTGCTTTCTGCACCAGATTGGAGACACCATATTAGCAGAGTTTAGTAAGTGCTCAGAAATAAGCCTATGTTTTCCTTCTTTCTGTAACACATAGAACACTCCGGGTCTATGTAGAGGTTTCTGAGTTTATTAAGAAAATGTTTATACTCATTACACTGTATAATTCACAAGCCAGTTGAGTAACAACATAAAAAGCACGTTGCGAGTTACAAAAATATTAGTGTTAGTACTTTAGTACAACCATGTTTGTCTAAACACCTCGTGGGGAACCCTTGCATCAAGTTTTAGATAATGAGGGAACTGCCCTGGCTGCTTAAGGGGAAATAACACAAAAACTGTGCTCTAGTCCTCTGTAGAGTGCACCCTGGGGACTGTAGAGGGTAGGGAGCGCAGCTAAAACTCCGTGGCTAGCGTGTACATGTCTCTAGGGGAGGCTTTCACAACTTAATTCTGTGAGTGAAGGACAGAGGAGCTTTGAGCGGCTTCTAAGAATATTACAGTACCATTCAGACAATGTAATCATGTGGGACAGCCTACATAGTCCAGAAAGTGATAGCAACGACCACGCTTTTCACACTAGTGACCCTGTCAGTGGCACAGAGGCCATTTCCTTGCCTCCAGCAATGTCCTGTGCAGCTAATCCGAAGTACGAAAACCCTAACTTTGTCCAGGACAGAACCTTAGAAAGTATCTTGCCATTGCTCTTGCAGAGAGCCTTCGAATCTGTCATCTCACGCCAGCAGTAAGTAGACACAGGTAGAAATTAGAGGGACCCGGTGGGGTCCTTAGGGGAAGGAGGGGGCAGGACAGCCAGCAAGCAGATGCAGGAGCGGTTCAGCTCAGTGTGGATAGAGTCTCATGCTCCCTGGAGTCTTGTTTTACTCTATTTCTCATACGGAACATGAATTCTGTCCAGAGGATGCCTGATGAGTGATGGCTAAAAGAATGAGTGCTTCTATGTTCTATGGTAAATACCACTGTATGTAATCTATGTGAAAACAGCTCTTTCAGAGCTCTGATTATTGAAAAGTGTAAAGATGTCTCTAGGGACCAAAATTTTGGAGAACTATTGAAGTATGTGACTTATTATATATGCACACTCACATTCTTGCCAATTAAATACACTGTCCTTATGCTATAATTATTTCTCTGCCTACACAATTAAATGCACTTTATAGACACAGAAATTATTATTTTCAAGGCTGAAAAAAATAGATTTGGAGGTTTAAGGGGGGATCATGGGGTTTCTAGGCCAATGTAGCTCAAACTCGATGCACTTCCTGCTTCTACTTCCAGAATACTGGGTTCCAAGCATGAGCCCAGGGTGTCATACATGCTAGGTGACCCCTCTACTGACAGAGCTGTGTCCCTCACCCTGTGCATGTTAACTGATAAGGGCAAAGCCCAACTCTACAAACTGGCATTGGCTGGAGATGCCCTGGGTTGAAAGTCTCCAGCCCATCGCGTCTGTGTGACGTGGAACGAGAGTATTTGGATCACTGTCTCCATAAGGGTTTATTTGTAATATTCGATGGGCAGCAGTGACTTCTGTGCTGCTTGCTTATGAAATGTCCTCATGCGTGACTGTGTGGTCTGTGTGTTAGTTTGATTCTTGAGGAAGTTACAGTATTTCTTCTTTTTTACTTCAAATAGAACGTTGTTGTTGAGCTTCTCCTTGTCCGGTTTTATTCCTGGCTCTCTTGGTTTTCAGCTTACTAAACCTCGAAGCTATGTTCCTGAAATGTGTCTTTGTGAAGTCCTACTTGCTTATCAGTAGTGCTCCACATGGAGCCCCAAGCTGCCTCAACACTGAATAGGTTGCCTCTCCCTTTGAGGCGGTGCTTACAATAGTCCTTTGCATTTGTTTATGCAACGTATATCTGCTTTTAAACATTCAGTGTTTTCAGGAATGTATCAAGGAATTATTCCGACCTGGTTCCTATACCAGGAAATTTTAACTCTGAGGTCTTCCTGTGTTATTAACATTTCTTGTTAGTGTTTGCTCTTTTGCACTTGGACTAATGTACCATTCACATACCATTGAACGGGTATTTTGGTCATACTAGTATATCCAAAAACAATGAAAGTGTAATTGGCATTTTTAAAGCAGTTCCTTTTGGAATAAGTTCATGGTCACTGGCTTTACATGTATTTATTTACTGGAAGGAGAGTGACATTGACTAGTATACTAGTCTTTAACAAGTCATCTCTCTTGGAATTATATTAGCATGGTTAAAATGAAGAGTATATACTACTGCACATAAAGAATTTCAAATGCATCAGTAAAACAAAATGGTGGGTTTTTAATAAATCTATAACCAAACTGAGGGATGTCCAAAGAGAAATGGAAGGACAGTTTTCTGGAAGTAGGGGAGAGGTTGTGGCAGCCTCCTCTGAAGGGGACTGATACTTGAAGTAGATCCTGTTGCCTTGTGTTTTGAATTTAATTTGAGAGTCTTGCTATGTGTCCTTGGCTGGCCTTAGAACTCACAGCATAGCCCAGGCTGGCTTCAGACATTGATCCTCTGTCCCTCCACCCACAAGTGCTGGATTACAGGCCTGCAACACCATGGCCTACTTGGGGAATACTTAGGTTTGGGAGTTGTATGGCAGATCCATCCGCTGAGACCAGGCCCCTCAGGTCTGAATTGTGATCAGCTGTGGTGGTCTGTAGATGTCACCATCTGTTGCTAATCAAGGTTTCCTTGATGAGGGGCGAGGACTGACTTACCTGTGGGTCTGAGGACAAGCGTTTAGAATGTATTTAGTAATGTGGCGGTGACAGGTTCTCCTCTAAGACTTCTCTAGCCCTGAGTAACTAGCTAGGTTTCCAGTACCAGGCATGGTTTCCCTCTTGTTGAGTGGTTGAAGTCACTTTTTAAAGTAGCATTTTGGGGAGTGGGACCAAAGAAGTAAATACTTTGAAGGACGTTTGGGACTGCTAGACAGTAAACTACACAGATACACAAAAGTTTGTGCGTTTCTCTGCATTCCTGTAGAACAAAAGGAAACAAGCAAAATATACTTCACTAACCACTGATTAGGTTCCCCTGAGATGGCTCCGTGGGGAAGGGTGCTTGCTGCCAAGTCTGGTCACTTGAGTTCCATCCCCAGAACCCCACATGGTGGGAGGACACGACCAGCTCCCACAATCCTCCTCTGATCTCCCAGTGTGCACTACCGCATGCCCTCCAACATGAAATTTTTAAAAACTCACTCACTAGAGTACAACTAACCCATTGCATTATTCTGCAGCTTCTTAAAAAGAGAATGTAACCTTTACAGAGACACATATGAAAATATCTATATTACATTGGTCTTTTAACTTTATATTGGCTTACACATGCATGTTTGAAATTAAAATGGTTAGCACTGGGAAGTCTGACCGGGAAGGAGAAAGTTTGTAGGTGTAGATCTTGAAGTGCTCGCCAGCGCAGAGATGATGGCTTTTTTCCCCCCTCTCCTGGCTCCCAAAACCAAAATGGATTCATTTTGTTTTGTTTAGAGTTTCTCCTCATACTTCTCAGTTTCCCCTTTTGTTAACATCTTAATGAGCATGTAAAATTTCTCAGAGCTAAGAAATGACTAAAGCACACATTGTAATATTAGCGCCTTCCTCCTTTCCTTGGGTCCCACACTGGGTTGGTCATGTCCCCCTGACGTCTCCGGTATTGCTTGCGCCTGTGCTTGGTGCTGCTGAGCCGCCAGTGAGT